TGTAAGAGTGAAGATTAGTTCCATGTAATATATGGTTTCTATATCATGTAAAACAAAGCTATACTGACGTGTAGTTGTATGTAATGTTTGATTTCTCGATTATGTAAAATTTACTGTGAAATAAAAAATATTTAATATCCATTGTTAAATAGAATTAATTAAACTCGAGTAACTTAATGTTAATACTCCATTCTTAGAAATTTGAAATCTGATTTATCCTTCGGCTCTTTTGTGTAACAAGTAAGATACTGAGTAACATGCTGATGTGTGAACGTCATTAATAAAATGAACATTCACAACCTGATACACAGAACAAAATGCAATTACTTTACTAAGAAACAATTATGCTGCGTTAAACTACAGAGCAACTGTTAACAACAGAGAGTCAGTGATAACAGAATAACTTTGATTATTTGTACTAACAAATATGATAAAACATAACACTTTAACTGAGTAAAAACATTGCGTGGCCTACAACATACAAAATGTGCAGCTAGAATCTTACAATACACTTGCCTTACTAACAACCCAAAACAGTGTTAGCGTGATATTTTATAATAGTTGTTCTCCTAAAAGGAGATTATTCAAACAGATGCAAACCAAAATATTTTAGCTACTAAATTAACATCTTAAATAGATACTGTATACAACATCATGCGTCTTACACAAACCAAGTAAGAGAACAGTGCACAAACAGTAAAGTGATCTTTTGCCTGACGTCATTTGTGGAGCCCCGACACGAACCACGTCAGTATAGTGCTAGTCTTGTTATAAAGCAATATTACCACAACACCATATAAATCAAAATTAACATGTTTAACACCCTTTAACGATTATATTTCGGTAAGTTAACTCAAGTTTCTTTATGATGTTACCGTTCATTATATACGTTTAATTATAAGCTTTGAATCAAAGTTGTAAGATATCCAGAATACAACATTATACAACAGTAACTACATCAAGCAGAAGGAGGAGTAAACGGTTACACAGTAACTTCACATCTAAATATTTCGAGTTTACTTCATTCTTCCACCCAGTTATGCCACAAAGTTACTCTAGATTGTTAAACGTTTTCCTCTATACTTTATCATGTTAGACAAACTGGTAAGTGCACCCTTGTCAAGAGAACGTTCTTAAAGACATTGATGCAGAGAGTTTCATTCACTGCAGCTCCTTGTGAACTTTCTTATAATTTCTTTATATTTTAAAGTCATTATTAGTAGGACGATTTGAAAAAAGTCATTCAGTAATGTTTGTAATTTTGTTTTCACACATCCATCTTTATAGTACGATTCGTAATAGTAATGTAGGTTCGTTAGTTTTAAATTCAGCCGATTTAATGTTAGCCGAACTTTATACGTGTAAATTCTTGCTGTATTCTGTGGCTGGAGTTGTGCTTATCACGTTTTCTTTAGTTGTTTTAATGACAGGTTAGTGTCACTGTAATAACGACACATCTTAGTCGAACGTGAATGAATGCCAGTAAACACAAGACGTTGGATTTTGTAACAGTTCCATTATCTCGGCTAGTAATAACAAAACGATGTCAATAATGATAGGAATGACATTTCCATTGTAACCATAAAACCTGTTTTAGGTAAGAAATACCACTTCTATTGTAACCATAAAATCTTTGTTTCTGAAATCACATTTGAAAAATACTACGAAAAACAGCCAAGTAGTAGCATTTAATACAAAATTTACGAATAACACTTGAAGTATGATACAATTAGTTGTATTCAGAATGCCGCACATACAACATTCTTGATAAATACAATAATTTGTCGTATTTAGTACACACGATTCACATCACACTTGAAGTATACGGAATTGGTCATATTCAGAATACCGCACGTACAACACGTTTGATAAATACAAGAATTTGTCATATTTAGTATACACGATTCGCATCACACTTGTAGTATACGGAGTCAGTCTTATTGAGAAAACCGTACATACAACTCGCTTGACAAATACAAGAAACTGGCATATTTAAAAGTTCACAAAATACTTGAAATACGCGATGAAGTCATATTCAGAATGAAGTATACGAATCATTCTTGAAATATACCACATGAATCCATTTAATAGAGACTATACAATCTCCCTTGAGTTATACAGATATAGTTGTTCTGAGAGAAGAGCCTATGAATCATGCTGTTAAAGTACAGCGGTAATGCCAAGCAGCACAGAATATAGGATCACACTCGATAATAGCTAATTATCTTCCAGGATACAGGTTAAGCTTCCAATATAGGGAAGTAAGCATGATCATTGTGTGTGGGTATGTCCGAATGATGGGAGGTTTTTAAATTGTTTTCCATCAAGGAGGAGTAAGGTGGGTTTCATCATGAAAGACCGAAAGCTAGCGTTTTGTTGCTCTGTTATTATTATTGTCTACACTTTTAGTCACAAGGGAAATCCAAATATTGTTCCGAAGAAAAGGTGGTTTTTATTGTTAAATATGGTAGTATAAGTATAATAATGACACTTACAAAATGTCATTATTTAGTTTGGTACTCTTAGATGTGTACGTTCCTCCGACTGTCTCCCGTTCTACACGCTCGAAGGTTTGTCTGCAAGGACGGTTTGGTCGAGTATAACAGGATATGACTTTGCGAAAGGCTTTCCGGAAATTTTCGGAAAGAAAAGCGTAAAGAATCGGATTCACGCATGAATTCATATAAGCCAAAATATGGGAAGAAATCTGCAGAGCGATTGTGCCTGCTTCCAATTCGTACTTTCTCAGACTCTTAAGCACCAGAACGATTTGTATGGGAAACCAGCAAATTGCAAAGATTAGAACGACGACCACAACCATCCGAGTGACTCGTTTCTTTGATTTCTGGCTTTCTGCGCTCATTTTACCTCCTGGTGCTCCGTGAAACCATAGCCGTTTCAACATGAGCATGTACAGAGCAAAGATCAACACCAGCGGTACAACATAAGAAGAGAGAAAGAAGGAGATCTGAAAAGCAACGTGGTTGTATCCCTCATCGGCAAGGAACACGCACACGGAATGTTCCTTCTCTCTGAACATATAATTCATCAGCCCGTGGGCCTGTAAAACTGGCACACAAGCGACGATGATGCAGGACCATGTTATAACTATGGCGATATAAGCGTTTCTTTCCGTGCGGATAGACATTGATGTAATAGGATGTACCACGGCCATAAAACGATCTAGAGACATGAGAACTAGGGTATAAATGCTGGCGTACGCACACACAAACACTAGGTACTGGACGATGCGACACCACACATCACCAAACGGCCAGTACGGAAGGGAGTAGTCCCATGCCGTAAAGGGGACACAGAAAATAATAAAGAGGAGATCTGCCATTGCCAGGTTTATGATTAGAAGGTTGGTAGTTGATCTCATCTGGGGGTTAAACAGGACAACAATGACCACTAGAGAATTACCGATAAGTCCAACAACAACAATAATACCAAAAAGAACAGGGACCAATATACTTAGAATCCGTTCCATTTCTTCAGCTTGATCATAATCCAGGTCTTCCTGCCTGCTGACGTTTTCAGAAACAGAAAAATTACTTATGATGTTCATTTCTAGCAGGGTGGAATTTAGGACATTGAGGATTGAAGATGTTGCTCTTTTATACTGTGTGTTCTTTAGGGAACTGTAGTCTTGAACATCAATTTCAATATCCATGTACTCCATGCTGTATTGTTTGCCCAGTATTGTTTCAATCGGATATCCAAATCAAACGAGGTCTACTCTTCTACCTGTACGTTAGTAAAAGATCTGAAAAAAAGACAGAAAAAAGTTAATTAATTCCAAGTAGCCCTAGAAGTGTTTGTTTTGTTGGGCTTTTTTTAAATACATATCATCAATTGCATTGGTATTCACTATAGTTCATACTTTTAAATCGCACAAACATTACATATATTAAGACAAACCAAGTAAAACATTGGGGACGGAAGTCTAGAATGCTTCAAAGCCTTTTGATTTTGTTCTTTACTAAGTTGTTACTTTGTTTAAGGACTCTTACACTGATAATAGTTATTCAACTAAATTTGCGTAAGTAAAAAAAAAATATAGCATAAATTTGAAACAAATCAGTTGAGTGCTACAAAGTTTGTTGTTTTAATTTAGCTTTTAAATTTTTTCGCTGAAATTTAAATCATATCAGTATATTTTATTTGAAATGTAAATTTTTAATTTTCAAGAAAATAATCAAGAAAACGTTTTCCCAAACTCTTTTTACCTACTTCACTATAGTTTTCCATAACGTTTTGCTTATTCTATTCTTAGATTTCTGTTCGTTTTGTTTGCTGTTAAGCATAAAACTACACAATGAGCTAACTGTGCTGTGCCTACTACCGGTAGAGAATTTCGCATGGCCAGGTAGTTACGGCGCTCGACTCGTAATCTGAGG